AGCATGGTTCTACTCTGCGAGCAAGTAGGATTTCCATGAGTCAGAATCAACTCAAGAGAAACAAGTTTGGTTTTGGTTTGCGTTTCTGTAAGATTCAATAGGCTAGGTTAGTACTCAATCACCTTTACTAAGACTGTTAATTCTTATAATGTATTCTCTCTCATTTAGTCTTCAAGGCTGAATGCAGCTAGGTAAAAACTCCTTCCCTACACTTACCAGGCTTCCCATCCAAAAGCTGAGCTTTCACCTGTAAAAGTTTCTTGAATCTTTCTATCCAGAAAGGAGATTAGCAATATTTGGAAAATCACATTATCTGAGCCGTCATGTGGAGTCAACCAATTATCATCATCATCTAGCAATCTTCTCTATTATCTAACAATCCACCTTAAGCTAAGCTTAAGCAATTGACAGAATGACTGGCTAAGTAGCCAAAACTCATGGTAATAATTTTTTTATAAGGACCAATTTTAATCTATGCCAAGTACTAACGTTTGGTTCATTTCTACAAATTTCTTTTAAAAACTTTAGTGTAGACATTCCCAGACATAAGACATTCACAGATTCAAGATCACAGAGAAGTCTGCATGACTTTTCATCATAGGATTGAAACTCCTACTACTAACTCCATATAGACTCAAACTCAGTGCCATCAAGTCAGAACTGCTTTGTTGCTGACCATTCATTGTGTTTCCAAGGAGCCTCTCTTTCTCTCTCAGTCAATGGTGGATTCGAAATGCCATAGAAACGTGGCCATTGAGTTAGCTGCACAACTTCCTACGAAACAGACCACCAAGAACCTCCCTCTCCAACTTCATATGGTTACCAAGCAATAGTTTTGCAAACCAATACTTCGTTACTGAGGTTTCAGGAAGCTAGAAAGTGCTTTTGTCTTTTTAAAACAATTATTTTTTATTGATATTAAAGTTTGCAGAAAACTTGGATTTCTATTCACTAATTTTTGCACATTTTCCTCCCTAGCCCCCCTCCCAAGTTTGCTTTTCTCTTTAAAAAGATTCTTTCATTATTGCACAATTTCCTCCCTCAACCCCCATTTCCCCATCCACTTTGCTATACACCTCTTATTCTGGACTATCCTCATACAAATACCTAATCATATATTCCTTTAAACAGTTGTTTCCTTCACACAATGGAACACTACACTGCACTAAAAAGCAAGGAATTAATAAAATATTACACAAAATGTATTACCCTGGAGGACACTGCTGTTGTTGTTGTTATGTGCCGTCGAGTCACTTGCGACTCATAGCAACCCTATGTACAACAGCTCTAAACTCTGCTCTGTCCTGTGCCGATCTCATTGCCTCTGAAACACTCATCCTGATTGCCCCAGTCACTGAATCAATTCATCTCCCAGAGGGCCTTCTCCTCCTGCGCCTGCCCTCCACACTCCCAAGCATGATGTCCCTCTCCAAGGACTGGTCTCTTCTTACAACATGACCAAAGTATGTCAGACGAAGCCTCAGATTCCTTGCCTCCAAGGAGCAGCCCAGTTTAACCCTCTCCAGGATGAATCTGTTTGTTCTCTTAGCAGTCCATGGCACCTTCAGCACTCTTCTCCAACACCAAAGCTCAAAAGCATCAATTCTCCTTCTATCCTCCTTGGTCATTGTCCAGCTCTCTGATGCATAACAAGTGATTGCAAAGGCTATGGCCTATACCAGATGCACCTTTGTCTCCAGAGACACACCGTTGCTCTTGAGTACTTTAGAGAGGTCCCTAACAGCAGACTTTCCCATGGCAATGCGCCTTTTAATTTCCTGGCTGCTGGTGCCAAGACTGTTGACTGTGGAGCCAAGCAAACTAAAGCTGTGTACAATCTTAATCTCTTCACCATCCATCCTGATGCTGCCAATTGGTCCAGTGGTGAGAATCTTTGTCTTCTTGACATTGAGCCTCAATCCATATTGAAGGTTGCAGTCCCTGACCCTCAGCAGCAAGCGCTTCAGGTCCTCCTCAGTTTCAGCAAGCAGAGTTGTGTCATCTGCATAACACAGATTGGTTATGGATCTTCCACCAATCCTGAGGCCACATTTCTCCTCATAGAGCCCAGCCTCCCGGATGACATGTTCTGCATACAGGTTAAAAAGGTATGGAGACAGACACATCCTTGGCGTACGCCCTTCCCAATTTTGAACCATGCAGTGTTTCCTTGCTCTGTTCTGACGACTGCCTCTTGGTTCAAGGATAAGTTTAGCATTAGCATGATCAAGTGTTCTGGGATTCCCATTCTTCTCAGAGTCAGCCACAGTTTTTTATGATCCACACAGTCAAACACCTTTGCATAATCAATGAAGCACAGATAGATCTTCCTCTGGTATTCCCTGCTTTCAGCCAATATCCATCTAATATTAGCTACAATATCCCTAGTCCCACGACCCCTTCTAAAACCAGCCTGGACTTCTGGCAGTTCTCTGCTACATAATGCCACTGTTCTAAAACAGGGCTTGGGAGCTCTGGTGGCCTAGTCGCAAGAAGCTGCACTGCAATCCCAGAGGTATGAGGTTCAAATCCACCAGATGCTCTGCTGGAAAAGGAAGGACAATCTCCTCCTGTACCTGTCAGATCTGATTTGACGGTACCTACATAATTAATTAATTAATAAAAAAAGAAAAACAGGGCAGAAGCTGGGGAGAAACTAAGAAAAGAGAGGATAACTTTTTTTATTTAAAAAAAATTATTGTAATCACAGTGAAAGCTTCCAAAACAAACTGGTTTTTCATTCAACCATCCACACAAATTTTGTTTTAGGACATTAATTACAATACACACAATGTAATCACAGCCTTCCCACTTCTTTCCTGTAATTTCCTTTTCCATTAATCCTTCTACCTCCTTCTAGGCTTTAGTGCTGGACAAATGCTTCTCTTTTGACTTTATATGGCTGATTATTCTAACGACTACCTCCCTGGTGTTACCACTCAACTTTATAGAGCTGATTCCAGAGGCATCAAAAGAAGATGGAAGGAATACATGGAGTCACTATACCAAAAAGAACTGGCTGAAACAGAAATATTTCAAGAAATATCATATTATCAAAAACCAATGAGAATATAGAAGAAATTCAAGCTCCTCTGTAAGAACTGGCAAAAAATAAGGGTCCAGAAATTGATGGAATACCAATTGACAAGTTTCATTAAACAGACGTAGCTCTGGATGTGCTCACCAGGTTGTAGCAAGAAATCAGGAAGACTGACTGGCTAACTGACTGACTGAGATCGTTATTTATTCCCATTTTCAATAAATGTGATCCAATAGAATGTGGAAATTATCAACCAATATCATTAATATTAATTATAAAAAAATGACTAAACAGTACTTCAACACAGAAATGTCAGAAATACAAGCACAGCTGGGCTTAGAAGAGGCTGTGGCACTAGAAATATCATTGCCACAGCCTTTTCTATTTTTGAGTTTTGTCTCCCATTTTCCCAGAACTGTGATCCCTTTTCTGTTTCTTTTCCATTGCCTTCAAGTAGGTTCCAGCTCACAGCTGACCCTGCAGCATGTTTCCAAGAGGCCATAAACTGTACAAGAGGAGATATCCATCTTTCTCCCTCGGAGCAGCTGGTGGCTTCAAACTACCAGAGAATCACGGCCTCTGGGTCAACAGCACAATTCTACTGACTGCATCTCCAGAGCTTCCAGGTATCTTCTTCAGTGTGGTAAACATTTTCCTCAAGAAAAAAAAATCAACACTTCTAAACGCTAAAAAGAAATAAATTTCATGGTGTGTGAGCTATATCTAAATAAAAAGAAAATAAAAACAAAGAAAGAAAAGCAATCCCAAGGCTCTCTGAATACTGGGAAGTAGTTATTCTCTTTATGGACTGATTGATACTCAGTTTTTCTCTGGGATTTGGCTTGTTCCACATTCTCGCCACTTCTAGTAGCCAAGAGGACAAAGACTGTATTCCAAAATTATAAAAGACAAAAGGGATTATCACCTTACCTATCCTAAAAAGTGTTCATTTGACAAGTTATATGAACGATAAGCTATTCAAATAATTGCTAATTATCACACTTTAAGAGCACTTAAATGGAAGTCTTCACTTTCCTTGATTATAATTCTAACTCCATTAGATAAACAGAAGTTAAAATAAACAATAACCTGATTGGCTTTACAGTGAGATATTTAACTGGAATGTTGTTGTTATTGTTGTGTGCTGTTGAGTTGGAAGCAATTCACAGCTAAGCCCCTAGTAGGTTTTCAGAGGCTGTAAATCACACAGAAATAATGTCCATTTTTCTCCTAAGTGGAATAAGTAGGCCTAAATACTTTGAAAGCAGTAAATTAGAAAATAGTACAATTACAATTCCTGGCTAATTATAATTTTCCAATCTGTGCCAATTATATTTATATTCCCAGAAGGACAGACCACCTGTATATCTCTTAAATAAATATATTGAATACAGAAAACAAGGACTATTTTCAACTTGGGATATTATTTCTAAATATTAAATGAGACACCTGGTTAAATAAAACAAAAGCATAAAGCTTTAAAACACCTCATCTGCTGATTTTACACACCTTATAAATAATGGTTTATAGTTCAGGCAGAGGAGAGAAAGCAACATGCAAGACAGATTGTACCTTTACACAATGGAATAGTATGCAGCATGCAGAGCAATGATTCTGAAAATCACTACCTAACTTGGTAGAGACTAGAGAGCATTATGCTAAGTGAACTAATGAACTCAGTCCCATAAGGACAAATACTGTAGAAGACCATTATTGTAGAAATAGAAAGATAACTAGTAAAATGTGTATGAGGATCCAAGGAGGGGAGGGGAAGAGCAGAGGGGTAAGGATGGGAGGAGGATGGTGTGGTAACCATGGGGTCGCATAATTTGATGGGTGGAGGTAAAGGTAAAGGAAATGGGAAAGATCTGGCATGAAAAACAATGTATCTGAATTCTGTAAGCAAACCAGTATAAAATAAAAATTATATTTAAGAAAAAAAGAGAGAGATTGTACTTACAAGAGGTAGCAGCAAACTGAACAGGTGACCAACATGGTGATGATAACCCTAAAAAAAAAAAAGATAGTAAATGATGTAAGCATTGAGAATGGTTTAAGCTCCCATCTCAATTTATCAACTTGACATGAACTGTGTATAGGAAAATGGATCAGACTCTGTTAATGTCCAGTAGGATGCAGGGTTACCCTGTAGAACACCTGGTAGAAATTTAAGAAACCACACATTTGTATTTAAAGGGATATATACTGACACAACAGCTGAGATGTCAAATCCAGACATAAGAAGAAATTAAACAGAAAAGGCCATGGGGGCAATTCCTTTCTGCAAATTACTTTTGGTAGTAGTCACTGCAATAGAGTTGTTGTTGTTGTTGCTATGTGCTGTCAAGTTGTTTGTGACTCATAGCGACCCTATGCACAACAGCCCTAAACCCTGCTCTATCCTGTGCCAATCGCATTGCCTCTGACACACCCATCCAGATTACCCCAGTCACTGAATCAATCCACCTCACAGAGGGTCTTCCCCTCCTGGGCTGTCCCTCCACCCTACCAAGCATGATGTCCTTCTCCAAGGACCTGTCTCTTCTTACAACATGTCCAAAGTATGTCAGACGAAGCCCCAGAATCCTTGCCTCCAAGGAGTAGCCTAGTTTAACCCACTCTAGGATGGATCTGTTTGTTTTCTTGGCAGTCTATGGAACATTCAATATTCTTCTCCAGCACCACAGCTCAAAGGCGTCAATTCTCCTTCTATCCTCCTTAGTCACTGTCCAACTCTCTGATGAATAACAAGTGACTGCAAAGACCATGGCCTGTATGCAATAGAGTAACATTGTAACTAAAAATAAAATTGGTATAGCCCTCACTCTTGTCTAAAAATCAAAGTTGGTTCTCTGATCAATTGAATTTTAACAGACATAAAGCCTAATTCATTGTATCATTTTCCAATGTCTTGTTCCAGAAGTTTCCCTTCTCAATCTCCTGCATCATAAAGTAGCTCTGCCATTTCCACATCAACTCACCTACAAATCTGCCATCTTTCTGGTCACCCCTCCTCTATGCCCTCAGATTCAGTTACAAGACGCCATGAATCCATCCTTTGAAGCATCTTTCCCCATTACAGACTGAACTTTAAAAGTACTGAAGTCCTAACCTCCACCATTCCTGTGAATGTGACCTCTGTGACGTAAAAGATCTCTGAAGATGTCATCAGTCAATTAGAGTGGTAGCATTATTGGGGGAGGGGGGGAGAGACACAAGCAGAGGGAAGCTGGTTCAACCACTCTGGAAGGCAGTTTGGCATTTCCTCAAAAAGGTGAATGTAAGAAATTCCGTATGACTCACCTATTTCTACTCCTAGGGGTAGAAATACCCCAAGGAAATTAGAACGGAGGTGCAAATGGAGATTTGTACACCAATGGTCATAGCAGCATTATTTACAATTGGAAGAATATGGAAACAGCCCAAATGTCCACTCACAATCCAATGGATTGAGAAATTGTGGTATATTCACACAATGGAATACTATGGAGCATTTAGGAGCACCAATTTAGAAAATTACTAAATAACTTGGGAGAAACTGGAGGGCATTATGCTGAGTGAACTCAGTCTCATAAGGATAAATATTGCATAGGACCATTATTGTAAAAACAGGATAACAAGTAAAATGTATACGGGGATATAAAGTGGAAAGGGTTGAGAACAGAGATGTGAGAATGGGCAGAGGGAAATCATAGGGTCACACAATTTTGTGGGTGAGGGGGTAAAAGTAATGGGAAAGATTGGGCAGGATGTGGGAAGACAGGGTAATGGTGGGCATGGTTCAATGGTGACTGAGTTTATATAACAATGAATGAAAATGATTGTATGAAACAATGTGAATGAAGGAGTGTGAAGCACAATGTATATGAACTTTGTATGTAAACCAATGTAAAAGAATTTTTAAAGTTAATTAAAAATAATTTATATAGAAACTCCTATATGAAAATTTATTTTGTAAATTTTGCCAAGATCACAATATTTAAAAGGCATGTAAACACGCATACACATGTATACAAGCACAAATGCCATACAACCACAACTGCAGAAACACAGTGATGCCACAAGTAAAAACCAAGGGCAGTGTGGTACTACCACAATCCCCATCAGCCAGGCACTGCCAGTTTTAGTGACTGTAAAGCATACAGGAGGAGACTGCCCATCTTTCTCCCCTAGTAAATTCAGACCACTAGAGAGGTGACATCTTTTGTGTTAGCAGCACAGCCTTCTATGGTCTATGGCACCAATTCCGTGTGTGTGTGTGTGTGTGTGTGTGTGTGTACTGATACGGTTATACAGGTCTCCGAATCAAGTAGTTGGGTTTGTGCTGGACTGAGATCACTGAAAAAAGGCCTGGTGATTTAACTACCACTGTGAAGAATTGTTTTGTTTGCCATCAAGTCAGAACCAACTCAAGCTGACACCTTTATAGGTTTTCAGAGGTTGGAAATTGCATGGGAGGAGATGCTTATCTTTCTCACGAAGAGTAGCTGGTGAATTCAAACCACTTGTCTTTGGGTTGATAGTGTAATATCTTACCATTAGACCAGCAGCACTTAATTCTGTAAAGATTAAAGCTAAGAAAACCCACTCAAGCACAGGGAATTGTCATCAATCACAATCAACTCCACAGCAACATATATATAAAAATACACACAGAGAAATATATATGACACTTTTTAAAAAGCATGCATTCTTCTAGCAGGCCAGATGGTAAGTGTGCAATGGGGGGAAATAAAGTAGAAAGTAGGATATGCTGCAGAGTGGGGTTGAATTTTTAAAGGAGGCAGCTGGTAAAGTTGGTAAAAGCCTTGCTGAGGAGGTGACATATAAAAGGAAGTGAGGGAATATTTCAGACAGAAGGACAAATGCAGAGGACCTGAAGTGCATGCTGCAGAAGGTCAAGGACTGTAGTTTGCAATATGGATTGAAGCTCAACATCAAGATGACAAAAATTCTCACCACTGGGCCAGTTAGCAGCACCATGACAGATGGAGAAGAGATTGAGATTGTTAACAGTTACAGCTTGCTTGGCTCCTCAATCAACACTTTTGGCACCAGCAGTCAGGAAATCAAACGGTGAATTGCTTTAGGAAAATCTGCTGTCAGAGACCTTTCCAAAGGATTGAGAAGTAACAATGTCAGTCTAAAGACTAAAGTGTGCCTGTTCCAGTTCATGGTCTTCACAATTACTTGCTACGCATCAGAGAGTTGGATAATGACTAAGGATGACAGAAAAGAATTGATGCCTATGAGTGCTGAAGAAGTGTCTTGAACATACCACGGACCACCAAGAAAACAAATAGGTCTGTCTTAGCGTGAAACCAATTTTCTCCTTGGAGGCTAGGATTTGTTTGTTTCTGAGTGGGTTTTTTGTTTATTTGTTTGTTTTTTTGTCTTTGTTTTTGGTGTACGGTTGAATCTGGCACAGGAGGAGATTGCTCCTCCTCCAGCGAATTCAAACCGTGTGGACTGCAGCGCAGATTCTTGCCACTAGGCCACCAGAGCTCACGAGAGGCTAGGATTTTGAAGCTCTGTCTCACATACTTTAGGCATGTGGCCAGGAGAAATCGATCCTTGGAGAAGATCATAATGCCTTCGGTGGAGGGACAACACAGGAGAGGAAGACCCCTGGTTACAGTAACAAGGGCAATGGGGGTTAGGTGTATCAGTCAGTGAGACTGTCTCAGGACAGGGCAGGCTTCAGACCTGTTGTACACAGGCTCACTATGAGTTGCAGGTGACTTGAGGTCAGGGAATCCCTGGGTTTAAAAAAGAAGAAAGGCAGCTCCTGTGGCTGGGGTAAAACTAAAGAGAGATATGGAAAAGACAAAGTCAAAGAGGAATCAAGCCACATTAAAAAGATTCAATTTTAAGCTGAGGGAAAGTTATTTGTGGAATTTGGATCAGGTGTGCCTGATCCAGTCCATGGGCTTCACAATTACTTGTTATGCCTCAGAGAGCTGGATAATGACTAATGAGGATAGAAGAATTATTGATGTCTTCGAGTTGTGCTGAAGAAGAGTCTTGAACATACCATGGACCACCAAGGAAAAAAAAGATCTTAGAGAACGTGAAACCAAGTTTCTCCTTGGAGGGTAGGTTGGTGGGGTTTTTTTTTGTTTTTTTTTTTTTTGGGGGGGGGTGTATATGTGTACCGTCCATTCAGATCTGACTGGCAAAGGAGGAGATTGTCCCTCCTTCTCCAGCAGAGGATCTGGTAGATTCAAACTCTGTGAACAAAGAGGAGAAGAAAGGAATAACAAAATTGGATTCAAACTCTAATAGTAAGGGGGACTGAACTTCTTTAGGGAGATTAAAAACATTTAAAATTGGACAGTGGTAAGGAGCTCTGGTGGCCTAGTGGAAAGGAGCTATACTATAAACCTAAAGGCTTGAGGTTTAAATCTACCAGCTGTTCCAAAGGAGAATGATGGGCAATCACCTTCCATGCTGAAAACCCACTGCAGGGTAGTAAGTTAGTTTTGACCTCATGGTACATAACAACAACAATAACAACATTCTGAGTTTCCAAAATGAAAATACATCAACTGAAATAAACATACCAAAAAATGGACCATGGTATTCTTTGTATAACATGATGAATGTCATTAATGTCAGTGAGTTGTAGAATTAAAATGGTTATATCGGCATATATCCTGTGTATTTTTTACAATAATTTTAAAATTTAATTTTTAACAAGGTATTCTAACAGATCTCTCTACTGGTTTGAAACAATGAAGGAAGAGAAACAGTGCAAAGCAGGGAAACTAGGGAGGGGAGAACTGCAATGATAAGGTGCAGAGAGCAGCCAGTGAGAACTGGTCAGGTTCTGGGGACGCTTTGAAAGAAAAGCCATCAAAACACACAATTACAAGTTAAATTTATAATATATGAACAGGTACGGGGTACTGTACTAAAATCTTTTGACAGTTGTTGTTGTTGTTGTGTGCTGTTGAGTCACTTGTGATTCACAGCGACCATATGCACAACAGCTCTGAACCCTACTCT